TGTCTTTATTGTATCACTCATTTGTTGTTCAATCCAGTTTGTCTGCCTTTACCACCACTTCACTGAAACCGCCCTTGTTAAAATCACTTATGACTTCAAGAATGTCAAATCCAGTACTTACCTTTTCTTCAGCATTTATTATGAAATATAAAATATTTAGTAATGTTCATTAAATATATTGGTGCAGTTTGACAAGAGCTATAAAGTGATCATCCATGTCATTACCATAGTCAAGGTAGCCAACATATTTATCACCCTTAAAAATTTCCTCCTGCTCCCATATAATCCTTTGCTTCTCCCCATCACAGCCCCAACCAGGTAACCATTGATCTGCTTTCTGTCACTGTAGATTATCTTGCATTTTTAGAGTATTATATAAACAGAATTATTCAATTTTTATTATTATTTTGTCTGGCTTCTTTCACTCAGCATAATTATTTTATGATTGATTCGTGTTATAGCATTAATAATTCTGCTTTGTTTATTTATTTACTAGAGGCCTGGTGAACAAAAATTTGTGCACATGGGGGTGGGGGGTCCCTCAGCCCAGCCTGTGCCCTCTCGAAGTCTGGGAACCCTCGGGGGATGACCACCTGCTGGCTTAGGCCTGCTCCCCCGGGGATTGGGCCTAAGATGGCAATCAGACATCCCTCTGGCAGCCTGGCAGCCCTTGGGGGATGTCCACTTGCCAGCGGGGAGCAGGCCAAAGCTGCAGTCTGACATCCTTAGCGCTGCTGAGGAGGCAGGAGAGGCTCCTACCACCACTGCTGTACTGGCAGCCATCAGCCTGGCTTGTGGCTGAGCAGAGCTCCTCCCATGTGGGAGCACCCTGACCACCAGAGTGCAGCTCCTGCATTGAGCGTCTGCCCCCTCCCTGGTGGTCAGTGTGTGTCGTAGTGACCAGTCATTCCCAGTCTTTCTGCTGTTAGGGTCAGTCTGCATATTACCCTTTTACTATATAGGATAGAGGCCTGGTGCACAGGAGGGGGCCAGCTGGTTTGATCTGAAGGGTGTCCTGGATCAGAGTGGGGGTCCCGCAGGGGTGCCTGGCCAGCCTAGGTGAGGGGCTGATGGGTGTTTGCATCTGGTCACACCCCCTTCAGGGTGTGGGTCCCTACTTGGGTGCCTGGTCAATCTGGGTGAGGGGCTGAGGGCCGTTTTCAGGCTGGCCAGCGACTGAAGCTCCCAGCCTCTCCTTTTTTTCTTTCTTTTTTTATTCTGAGATTTATTTACCTTGTATAATTGAAACATTGTTGCCGTCACTGGTACTCCCAGCTCTGAGGCCGCAGCCGGCTGAAAGCAGGTATCTGGGGTTTGTTTAGCTTCTATAATTGAAACTTTGTTGCTTTTGGAGCTGTTGCTTTCGGAGCTCAGAGCCGGGCCACAGCAGGCGGGGAACCTTGGCTTCCTCCATCACTGGAGCAAGAAACCTCCTGCTCACTTCAGCTGTGTGGCTGCCGGCCGCCATCTTGGTTGGCAGTTAATTTGCATATCGCCCTGATTAGCCAATGGGAAATGTGTTGGAGGTATGGTTAATTACCCTTTTTGTCTTTTATTAGATAGGATTTATTTTTTGCCAAGTAGTATAGTTCATTATGTGGAAGTATCACAATTTGTATTTCCTTTCATCTGTTAATGGATATTTAGGTTATTTGTAGTTTTGGCTATTAAAAATAAAAGCTGTTGGAGCAACTAAGATGGCGGCATAGGTAAACACCGGGAAATTATTGCCTCACACAACAATTGAAAATTACCCCAAAGGACTGAGTAAACATCATCCAGAACAACAGGAAGGCTGGCTGAGTGTAAATTCCACAACTAGAAGGAAAGAAAAGCACGCTGAGAGCCAGAGGTGCTGCGGAGGTGAAGAGCAGAGGTACGGCGGCGTGCGCGCGCGAGGAAAGGGGGTGGCGCCTGAGGACGCGGCTGACTTTTTGAATCACAAACTCCCGACGGCTCTGAACTCCGGTTCCGGGAAGTTTCTGGGGACCCAGGTCTCACACGGGGAGAAGCTGGTCTGTCCGGCAGCGAGCGAACTTGAGGGCGGCTTTCCCTCAGAGGTGCTTGCAGCCGTTACCGGAACACTGAGACGCGCGACTCCGGGCGGAGAATCGGCCATGGCCGCTTTCTCCGCCCTCTGACTCCCTGAGACCCCGCCCCACCCAGGCTGCGGCAGAGGCTTTTGCATGTGAATGTACCTAACTGCAGCCAAACCAGGCAGACCTGGAACTTCCAAGAGAAGGCCCAAGGCCCCGCAGCGGCTTGCATTGCTTCACAGCTGAGCCTCTTCGTGGCTCCTGCTGTGTGGCCTCAGGCAGAGGCTGAATTAGCACCTCCTTAGATCCAGGAGCCACTGTACCCAGTGGTCAGAGGGGGTCCATCCAGACTGCAATTCCTCAGATCCATAAGGGACGCACTCAGGGAGCAGACTCAGTGAGCACCAAAGCCCCACTGAAGCAAGTCTTGCCCCAGAAGGGTGTCTTCAGCACAGAAGTTCTCCCACTTTAGACACAGCTGATTCTCACAGCCAATTGGCCTGGAGGTCAATTCCTCCCAGTGATTCTACAACAACCAAGGCACCAAGAGTGCACCAAGAGTGTCCACCCCAGGTAACTGGGGAGGCTGAGCTACTGGGCCCTACAGGACACCTGGCGCACAGGGCCACTCTATCAACACAGGGAAGCTGCCAAAATGCGGAGACAAAGAAACAGGTCACAAATGGCAGAAATGGAGGAAAGCAAACGATTGGATATAGAGTTTAAGGCCACGGTTATAAGGTTTTTCAAGAATTTTATGGAAACCGCCGATAAATTTAATGAATCCCTCAATAAGTATAGGGAGACCATGGAGGACATGAAAAAGGACCAACTAGAAATTAAGCATACACTGACTGAAATAAAGAATAATTTACAGAGATCCAGCAGCAGAAAAGAGGATCCCAAGAATCAAGTCAAAGATTTGAAATACAAAGAAACAAAAAATACCCAACCGAAAAAGAAAAAAGAAAAGAGATTCCAAAAATATGAAGATAGTGTAAGGAACCTCTGGGACAACTTCAAGCGTACCAACATCAGAATTATAGGGGTACCAGAAGGAGAGAGAGGGCAAGATATTGAAAACCTTTTTGGAGAAATAATGACAGAAAACTTCCCCTACCTGGTGAAAGAAATGGACTTACAAGTCCAGGAAGCGCAGAGAACCCCAAACAAAAGGAATCCAAGGAGGACCACACCAAGACACATCATAATTAAAATGCCAAGAGCAAAAGATAAAGAGAGAATCTTAAAAGCAGCAAGAGAAAGACAGTCAGTTACCTACAAGGGAGTACCCATACGACTGTCAGCTGATTTCTCAACAGAAACCATGCAGGCCAGAAGAGAGTGGCAAGAAATATTCAAAGTGATGAATAGCAAGAACCTGCAACCAAGATTACTTTATCCAGCAAAGCTATCATTCAGAATAGAAGGTCAGATAAAGAGCTTCACGGATAAGAAAAAGCTAAAGGAGTTCATCACCACCAAACCAGCATTATATGAAATGCTGAAAGGTATTCTTTAAGAAGAGGAAGAAGAAAAAGGAACTCTTACCATTTGCCACAGCATGGATGGAACTTGAGAGCGGATAAATACCACAGGATCTCACTCATTTGTGGAATATAATGAACAACATAAACTGATGAACAAGGACTGATCCAGAGACGGAGAGGCATTGATTGGACTGTCGGGACTTGGAGGGAAGGTAGGGGAGGGTGGGGGTAAGGGGGAAAGATCAACCAAAGGACTTATATGCAAGCATATAGGCCTAACCAATGGACATGGACAACGGGGGAGTGAGGGCATGAGCGGGGGTGGGGGGGGTGGGGGGTAGAGGGTAACGTGGGGACAAGGACACATATGTAATATCTTAATCAATAAAAAATATATAAAAAAAATAAAAAAATAAAAATAAAAATAAAAGCTGTTACTGCCCTGGCCAGTGTGGTTGCAGGTTCGATTTCTCAGTCAGAGCACACACCTAGGATGTGGGTTCGATCCCCAGTCAGGTTACGTACAGGTGGCAACCCATGGATATCTCTCTCTCTTTCCATCTCTCTCTCTCTCCCTCTCTCCCTCTCTTCTTCTCTCCTTCTCTCTTTCTCTCCCTCTCTCCGTTCCCTTCTCTTTGAAATGAATGAGCATGTTCTCAGGTGAGGATTGAAAAAATAAAATAAAGCTGTTACAAACATTCATGTATAAGTCTTTATATGGCTATATGCATTCATTTATTTTGGGTAAATGTTGGTAAAAACATGTACATGCTAAATAAGGCCTGGAGACTAGTTAACAGTATTTTATCAATGTCAGTTTTCTAGATTTAATATTGTACTGTAGTTATGTAAGATGTTTCCCCTGAGGACTTTATATTATTTTTGCAACTTCCTGTGGAGCTATAATTTTTTTCAAAATGAAATTTTAAAACAATGTTAATTGTAGAAAGTTTAGAAAATACAAGTTGGAAAATAAGGAAAAATTAAAATTACCCCTAGTCTGCCCTGGCCAGTATGGCTCAGTTGGTTGGGAGTCATCCTGTTCACCAAGAGGTTGCCAGTTCAATTCAGTCAGGGCACGTGCCTAGGTTGTAGATTTGATCCCTGGTAGACAGCCAATCAATGTTTCTCTCTCACACCAATGTTTCTCTCTCTTCTTCTCCTTTCCTCTCTCTCTAAAAAAAAAAAATCAATAAAAAATCTTTTTTAAAAAAATTACCCATAATCACACCCTTTAGAGATAATTATTAATAATATTTTGATGTATAGCCTTTCAGTGTTTTTGATAGATTTTGCTTTTTGTTGTGGCTATTTTTACCCAATAGGATCATGTTTTGTAACCTGAACAGTAGATGTGTTTATTCTTTTTGCCTATTGATATTATGGTATTCTGGAAACAGTTTATTTTATAATTATGTATTCATACAAATTAAGGTGTTTGCTTCTAATTTATTTTGTCTTTTTCTATCTCTAGTTGATGACAGTGCAATTTTGGATTGCCAGTTCAGTGAATTTTATCATACTCCTCCACCTGGTTTTGAAAAAATACTATTTGAACAGCAGATCTTCTGAATGTATTTGTTTTTGAAACTTGTACTTCTGCACTGTTAAAAGTGTTTACCATTTAATAAAGCTTTACCTGACTTATAGATGAAAATATATTATTAAAAATATGCTTGTTAATATTGTTTCAGGAACCAGTGTATTCAATATATCACCCCAAAATTGTGATTTAAAGTACTTACATTTTGTGATATGAAGTCAGCATTTTGGGCAGTTTATTTAATTCTTATTTAAGTAAATGTAACTATGGGTATGATTAACAGTATTAAGTTGAAATATGTATATATATTTAAAAGGGAATCTGTCTTATATAAATTATTTGTTTTGGTAGAGTTGGGTGGGTTTTTGTCATTCTGAAGTTTAGATCTCACTAACTATTTTAAGTTTGCAGTCCAATGATTTTGTGTCTCATGTTCTTTTTTATAGAGCATAACAAGTGACAGAGATTTATATTATTGGCAACTTCACTTTCCACAATTTATTTACTGTGAGATGTATCATTTTCTTAAAATTTAAATTGCCTAGTTTGTTTGTATGTCTTTGCTTTTAATTTGCTTTGTGAAAAGAGATGTGTTCTAGTATTGAAGACCATTATGCTGTGTTACTTCAATTCCAGAGTAAGTAGTGGTGATTAGTGTTAGAGTACACACTGGCAGACACTAAGAATAGGGATGCTTTAAACTTAAATGTAAATGAGATTATTCTTTTAGGGACTTTTATTTAAATGTATTTTTTTCTGTAAGGAATAATAAAATAATAGTAATTAATGAATATTCAGTACTATATTAAATACATTTTCTTCTGCTCTGTTAATGATACAGTAAATTCACTTCACCCTTAATTATTTCAGAACTTTAAAGATAAATGAATCCTCTTCATGACCCTAAGCCTTTACATAATTTTCAGCAAGAATCTTTGAGTTTATACCCTACTAACCCAAAGTAATCACTGTACACATCTCGGTAGAGTTTCCTTTTCAAATGAACATGGCAACGATGCATGCATTTCACTCCTTCGATAACAAGGGATCCGTATGTTGTACTAGAAAAACATGGGCATTAGAATCCAAGCTCTGAATTGTAGTTTTACCTCCTAATTCCATTATCTCCTCAGGCGAGTTTTTCAGTTTCTCTGAGCCAAGATACCCCATTTACGAAAGGGATAATCATATTTTTTATAACATTTTATAACTAGTTAAATAAGGTAATATATGTAAAACACCTTAATCATCATAGGCACTTAATGAATGTAGCTTGCTTGTTGACTCCAACACAGTGGTTTTCATAGTGTGGTCATCAGCATCGCCTGGGAACTTGTAGGAAATGCACATTCTCAGGCTCCACTCACTGAATCCGAAACTACTGGGGATAGTGCCCAGGAATCTGTGTTTGAACAGCCCTTCAGGGGATTTTAATACACACTAAAGTTTGAGAACCACTGCTCAAGAGAGAATTCTTTGAGAATGATTGTCTACTATAAATTTTCTAAGGATTTAAGACAAACTATTTTTGACCTGTAGATAAGAGAATCCTGTACAGTATTTATTTTTTTGCTTATTTGGTAGACAAACACATGATATTGTGCTTTGAAAACATTGATATACTTGATTAACATTTATTAACATAAATCCCAAATTTTACCTCTGAAGGTTGTTCATATTGAAAATATTGCAATAATTAATAAATAATAATACAAGAATAAACTGTTTCATGTACTCACAGCTGTAAACCTACTTTTGCCCAACCCTGTATATAGAACCAAACTAACTATAATATTTATGCATTTTTGTCTAACTTTCTTAGTAATTTTAATTAATAGAGAATATGCTTACTTAAGAAAGTAAACTGAAATGACTGTTTGCTGTCTTTATAATGTTATCTACCTCTTAGTTATTTTTTAAAGCATACCTTTTTTTATCATCATATTCTTTTCTCAAGACTATCTTTTCTGCCTCTGATCATACAGAATAGTCACAGTACCAAAAATGATACATCAGTTATGTCAATGGAACAGTTTGAGGAAGACTGTTGTGTTTTTAAACTCTAGGTATCTAGGAAAATTACCTCCCAAAACCCTAACCTCAGTCTAAACTTGAGAAAAACATCATACACATTCCAGGGAGATCTTACAAAATACTTGAACAATATCCCCCCGAACTGTCAAGGTCACAAAAAAACAAGGGAACTGGAGAGTATTATGCCAAGTCATATAAGCCAGTCAGAAAAAGACAAGTATCACATGACCTCACTTATATGTGGAATCTAATGAACAAAATAAGCTGATGAACAAAGAGATCCAGAGATATGGGAGCATGCAACAGACTAAGGATTCTCAGAGGAAGAATGTGTGGGGAGGAGATTAACCAAAGAACTTGTATGCATATATGCCTAACCTATGGACACAGACAATAGGGTGGTGAAGGCCTGGGGGGGGGAAGGGGGATTGGAGCAGGGTGGAGGAGGTCAGTGGGGGGAGGGGGGGAAGCGGGGAAACTGGGGATATCTGTAATACTTTCAACAATAAAAAATAAAAACAGCAAGGAAAAGTCAGAAAAACTGTCACTCCCAAGGAGGAGCCTAAGGGGACATGACAAGTAAGTGTAATGTGGGATCCGGGAACAGAAAAACGATATTAAGTAAAAACTAAGGAAATTTTAAACTATGGATTTTAGTTAATAATGTATCAATATTCATTTATTAATTGTAGCAAATGTATCACACTAATGTAAGATGTTAATAGCAGGAGAGGATATATGGGAATTCTGTAACAACCTCAATTTTTCTGTAAATCTAAACTAAAAAAGTCTATTAAAAAAATTACATTGAACTAGGAGAAATTTAAAATGAAGCCAATAGAATATTAGTACGGTTTCTATGCATAGCTTAAATATTTAATAATAGCTAAATATAGATGTAGATAGGACATAAAGCATTCTTGTATTTTAACACACAAAGACCTTCATTTGTTTCTGGCTGAAGAGAACACTGCCCACTGTCTTGATTTTGTATATTGCAAAATCCATTTATTCATACTAGTGCACTTACTCAGACTGCAAATAATTTACCCATGTTATTATTTAAGTGGCTTAAACATTGCAAAGTATTTGTAATGTTAAATATGTGAAAATTTTATAAATCATCAGTTTTCATATTAAAAACTAGAGGAAGAGAATTTGGCTTTTAACTGCCTTTGGCTTATCACTTAAGATTATTTGAATATATTTTCAACTTGGATTCTGAACTATTCTAAATTCATTTAAGAATAATATAAAATAAAATTTGAATTAAGGCTTTTCTAAATCATTAACAAAAACAGACACATGCATGATATTGTTGCTCACATCTCTTTTTACTTTATGTTTACTTCTTATTTCAAGTCTAGATAAGGACAGCAAACGCATAGCTAAAAATGTTAGTGAAATCTTTGACAAATCTTGATAAAACACATTAAATCAAAACTTCTTTTATATAATGCAAAACATTAGATATGATTATGAGAAGAAAATCTGTAATCCAAACTGGAATTTGTGGTACATAGTCATAAATGGTATATCATCAATTACCACATCTATCAATTTGCATTATTTATGCAATTGGCTGGGAACTACCTTTGGGAGCTAACTGGGCTGTTAATGTGAATGAATGGAAACAGAATAGTAGAATCAGTTGACTATTGTTCTTCCATTTAATGGATATGTGACTCCCCTTAAACTTGCTCTTTTAAAATAACTGGGATCAAATTATTTAAATAGGTATAAACACAGCAATGTTAGGTGTCATTAGAAATATAAATAAAAGCACACCATCCAAGAATTCTATAAAAATTTAAAGGAAAAATTATTCCAGCATTAGCTGAAATGTATAGTCTGTAGTTATGTAGGAATCATTATAATGTAGTCATTCAACAATTGAATCATCTATGTGTTTCATAAATACTTAAACAAGATAGTCACTGACCTCAAAGAACTCTGCTAATTATAACTTATTTGTAAGTATGGCTCTCCAAGATATATTGATAAATGAAAAAAGGAAGTTGCTAAACATTTGTATATATAACTAGAGGCCTGGTGCATGAAATTCGTGCACTGGGGGGGAGGGGCCTGTGCCCTCTCAGCTCGCTGGTCCTCAGTGCTGCCATGGAGGCAGGAGAGGCTCCCACCACCACTGCTGCACTCACTAGCCATGAGCCTGGCTTCTCATTGAGCGGCACTCCCCCTGTGGGAGCACACTGACCGCCAGGGGGCAGCTCCTGTGTTGAGCATCTGTCCCCTGGTGGTCATTGCACATCATAGCGACTGGTCACTCTGGTTGTTCCACTGTAACTGTTGCTTAGGCTTTTATTATATAGGTATGATCCATTAAAAACAAAAACTAGACCCATATGTATAGGGGGAAAAAGTATGAAGTGATATACACCAAAATATTATATCTATCTTGGGAATAAGATTACAGTTTTATATTTACCAAATAAATTTCACATAATAAGCATATTGTTTGGGGAATAAAAAATAATTTAAAAAATAAGAGGAAGGGGCCTTCTGTGGCAGCTCTGGGGTGGGAGTGAACAGCAGCCGGTGGGGCTGGATCGCAGCTGGGCCTGGGGGTCTGAGGATGCTCCCAGGAGATGATACAGGCTGGACACACGCAGAGAAGTAGGCAGGACAGTGCAGCGGGCATTGAAGTCGGCACAGCCGGACAAGGCGGTGAGGGGGTGGAATGAGACCTAAAGCACCTGGCTCCCGCCTGGCCCACGACGGCCGGAGGGAAGAGCAGGTGTGATCATTTCTCTTCTGCCTCAGTGTCCGCCTGCCCTCGGTGAGGGGCTGGCCAGGATCGGGGCTTTAGCGTGACCGAGCCTCTGAGCCTAACTTTCTAACCGTCCAAGGACCTACGGACTCTAGGGTCAGGCCTCCAACACCACCTGTTCCAGGGCTGCCATTCCAGTGGAATGCGCCAGGGAGCCCTCCCCAGCCCTGCCTGTGCCACCGCCTGTGGAGGAGGCGGGCGGGTGGGGGTGGGGCGGGCAGGCAGGTACCTCGCAGAGGAACGTGAGGATGCCCTGGTGCTCCTTGAGGAGCTTGGCGATGGTGAGGCTGCCGCGCTTGACGCCCCCCAGCGGGTCGAAGAGCAGGTCGCGGTTGAGGGTGCCCTTGCGCTCCTCGGTCCACACGTCGATCTCCTCCTGATGGTAGGCGAAGGTGCAGTTATCCCCGTACTTACAGTCCTGCTTGTTAATCATGTCTGCAAAGAGGCAACAGGACACACGTTCTGCCAGGCGGGAAGGCGGCCCCCAGCGCCCCCAGGACCGCCGCTGCGGCCCAGGGGTGCCAGTAACCCCCTGGCGGGCCCTGGGCTCATCTCCGACACGTGGGCGGTGCCCTGCCTGCCACGAGGACTGGGGAGGGGCGGGCCCCTCTTTGCTCTACACCCGGGTGGGTGGGGGTGGGGAGTCGCATCTTCATCTGCAAAACATGGCTATCATCAGGCACCACCCAGAGTCTGAGGCTGCGTGACGGTGGGTACAAAAAAAAAAGAAAAAAGAAATAAAAAATAAGAGGAAAGACTAATTCTGGAGGAAGCTCTGTACACTAGAGAATGGTGAATTTTAAATTCATAGCTAAAATAATCTAAAAAGCTGCTGTAGAATCACATTCAATCAGTTAATTATAGGATGCATGTGTTTCATGGTAATTTAATTTTAAAAATTCAGAAACTTTAGTTGATGCCATGCCAGTCACCAATATACACCGGGCCCTGACCCAGGGAAGTAATAGTGCTAGTAAGCCACATGGGGAAGAAAGTTCTAGTAGACACTTCAAAAAGGACACTTATAAACCAGCAAAGGCTACCAGGCCGTTGAGGGTCTGCTTAATCCATGAATGAATGAATGAATGAATGATCCATAAGGACACTGGGATTATTACAAGAAAATATTCAATCCACTGAGATATTAAAGCCAAAATGATTTGTGAAATGCTAATCATTATAAGAAAGAGACTAGTAATTTTTAAAAAACCAAATCTATAGATTCATGTGTGATTCTCACAAATGTCTTTCAGGAAAGACAATCATCGATGTGTTTCAAATATCTGATTGTTCATCACTTGAAAATTCACGGTTGCTCTGGAGGCAGGATTATTGGAAGGTACAGGAAAGCAGATTTCAGTTTAAGATAGGAAGAAACTTTACTGTTATTAGTTCACTGATAAAATTGCTACCTTACAAAGAAATGAACCTCTGGTCCCTGGAAATCTTCTAACAGGGGTTTTAAAATATATGTTTTATTATTATTCAGGTATGGTGAGCCAGCATATCAGAAGACAACTGCCACTGAAAAAGATCAGGGTTCATAAGAGGAGAGGGCATCTCATGCCACACGGGAATACACTGACAAGCACTGGGGTCGGTCAGGAGCCAAAAGGAGCAAGGGGAAAGCATGGGGATGCGTCTTTATTGTAGTTTCCACGTGCAAGGCAGGGTAAGCATACTTGGGATTGGCTAGTTTGAATAATTTTAGCAGACTCTGAAGTACAGTGGGGCCTTGACTTACAAGTTTAATTCGTTCTGTGACGGAGCTCGTAACTCAAATTACTCGTATGTCAAATCAATTTTTACCATTACAATGACACGTGATGCTGGGCTGATGTTGTGGCGTTCACTGTGACGTTCGCTGTGCCAACTAGCGGTGGGGTATCTGAAGCTGGCTCGTAACCCGAATTTTAGCTCACAACTCAAAGCAAAAAATCTGCCGAGAGACGGCTCGTATCTCGAAAAACTCGTTAGTCAGGACACTCATAAGTCAAGGCCCCACTGTATAGGGGCTGTCCCCAATTGTTTGGTACTTTGCTCTGAGGTGATTAGGATAGGGGAATATTGACTTGGAGTTTGAGAGCCTGAGAGAGGAAGTTGGGGCTCTGAATTGGTTGGTTTGCAAATAAAAGGCAGACTCCTGAAGCAAGTGGTTTGCTGTCTCTAGGAATTAGCTAACTCTACGTGGGGCAGCCCCTCCCCTATTGGTAAGGCCCCAGATGCCAGAGCATCAAGAATACAGAAAATAAGAAAATAGAATTGATACACAGGCTAGATGAGTATCCCAGAGATCTTGTAAATATGGTTTCTGCTTGGATAGAGGCTGAACTAGATGCTATCTAAAACTCTGTGATTCTGATTCATTCAGACTGTCGCCAATTCTCTAAACAACTTAAATTGAAAACAAGGAAATGGAGGATGCAGGATATCCAGGGATCTAAACTAGATTTGTCATATTAAAATTGGTGTTAATTCTGGAAAGGGGAAGTTACATTCAAGTAAAGTAGAAATATAGTGCTAGCTCAACAGGGTAAACTGGAGTTCTCACAGTGTTGTGAGTAGACAGAAGTGACTTATAGGTAATGAACAAGAAACTGTGAGGTTTGGGGATAAAGTCAAAACTATTAATATGATGGTCTTCTAGGTATTATTTAAACTCAGAAAGAGATATTTGTAGGTACCAGTCCAGTGTGTGGTCACAGTCAAACGTATAACCCTTTTGGAAGGGTTTTTCAAAATTAAGAATTTAGGAAGAGTTTTAAAAATTAAGCAGAGAATCTCATCAACCATTATAAGAAACAAGACACAAAATTTATCTCCATCTATGTATAGTTTGTTTATTGCATTTCAGGTGAAAAGGTGAGTTGAAGAAAGCCCAAAGAAGAATAGCAAACGTGATCAAGAAAAGGCAGACCACTAGACATGTGGGCCCTTCAGTCTAAAAGTCAAGGCTGAAAAATAACACTATCCAAATCTATAAAAGTATGGTGAGTATGGATGTGCATGGTGAAGTTGGACTTGCTTATCAAATTCCTGATTGCTAACAATTAAGGCAACAACCCTTGAAACTTAAAAACAGAACTATTTAGAGGCAATAAGCTTTGTTATTTTCGTGCTGTGTAAGAAATAGTGATTGTACCACCCAGAGGTAGTATAGGAAGACATAGTTTTGAAATGGATTGTTAAGCAAGAAGGCATTTTGGAAATTATTTGTCCAAATCCTCATTTCACACATGGGGAAAGTGGCCCAAGAAAGAAGTGTCTTGGCCAAAGTGACATGAATAACAAAACCCAGGTAATTCAGCGTTCATTAATAAATATAAGCACTTACTCTATCAGGCCCTGCTCATTCTACTTGCCATGTGATTAGATAAATCCATTAGCAGTTTCTAAAGATTTCTAAATGATTTTTAATGAAAGTTAGAAATTTAGGAATATATCCTTTTTAATACTGACAGCATGAATGACAGTTTAGCAGTCCTACAAAACTTACCCTCATATAAGATGTTGAAGACAGAACAAAGGCCAGAAGAGACCATTATATATATTCATAGTTGATTACCCTTAGTTAGTGGTTGGTGACAGAAATGATGAAATGAATTCTTACCTTTTGGGTTATCTATGTGACAGCTCTCCATTAGCACAAATACACAGCAGTTAATGATTCATTCACTGTCATCCCTGGGTTATGTGCAGGCATGGGGCAGATAATGAGAAAACACTTGTTTCTTGGCTTTGTGTTATATTCTTATAAATGAATTGGACTATGTATTGAGCCTCAGAAAATTCATGATACTTTAGTGAAGTACACTACAATATATCCTCTGTAGTTGGTCTTCCTGAATTTTTCTCTAGACTCTTTTCCAACAAACTCATCTTTTAAAAAGGCTCATTATTTTCTGGGTTTTACAAATTTAGACTTTATGAAGATTCAAACTCTGAAGCTCCTTTATTTTTGAAGAACACTTTAAAGCAAATAATATAAGTTAATTTATAGGAAAAATATTTAATCTCATCACAAGAACAATTTTCCAACATATTAGAAGCATGTGTCTTCCTATAATCAATTGTCACACTAATTATAAAACTGTTCCTGCCTATTTGCTGGAGATCTTGAAAAATAAGATTGACATATTTAATTGTTATAAATTATTATGCAGAGCTCTTCTGAGAAATAGTGATAGAAACAGAGTAAACTCTTGAAATCCCAACATTATACAGTATACTTTATTTTTTATTCTTTTGGAGGGACTGAACTTTTGTATTCAACAAATATTTTTTAGCATCTCCTCTGTACCAAGCACAAGGCTGGGCTAGACATGCCAAGATGGGTGAGACGGTCTTCTCATTCAAGGCGGTGCATGACTATGCTCATGGCTGCACAACACTTGGCTCCACCAGCAGTAACAGAAGGAACTTGATATAGACTTTTTCTTTCTAGCATCACAGTGAAAAGATTTCATGGTAACAGGAGAATAGAATCCTTGGGATTTTATTTTACACACCTTTGTTTGGGGAATTTGGGTTGTTAAAAACTATATATATAATTTGAAGAGTTCTTTCATTCTTTCTGCAGAATTAAATTTTCAGAACAATGAAGTCTTTATGCCATAAAAAATGTGAAAAATGAAGATTTAAAGCCCATAAAAGCTTTATATAAACACAGTTGCTTGAGTAATGATTGCAAAAACTCTACCTTTGCTTTAATTATTTAAATAGGGTAACTGCTTCACTTTTCTTCATATATTGATTGTTTAAAAATGATTACTGGGCCTTCCAGTCAAGATGGCGTTGTAGGTAAACACGATACTGAAATCTTCGCAAGACCAAATCAAATTACAACTAAACTTCAGAACAACCATCATTTCAAACTGCCTGAAATCTAGTTGAATGGAAGTCCTACAACTAGGGGATTAAAGAAGCCACATGGAGACTTGTAGGAGGGGCAGAGGAGCAGAATGGGCTGGTCCCACAGCCATGTGTGGTGATTTATAATCAGGAGGGATATCTTGGCTATGGAGGTCCTACATGAGGAGCATGGGCTTCCAGTTCCATTGCAGGGCCCCCAGCACAGGGTTCCAGTGCTGGAAAAAGAAGCCCCCACAACTTCTAGCTGTAAAAACCAGCGGGGATTGTGGCTGAGTGACACGGAGGCTGCTGGAGTTCCTTGGTTCACAGCTTGGAGTCCCTCTTAAAGAGCCCATGCATGGACTCATTCAGACTCACTCCCTCTGAACTCCAGTGCTTGGTCAACAATTGGAAAGGAACCAGGGACATATGGGGAGGAACTAAATTGTTGGACATCAGGACAAGAGCTGGGGGAATAGCTTTCTGCCAGACAAAAGTGCTGACAAGAGGCCATTATTCCTCTGCTTTAGACCTCCCCCGACAGAGCTGATAGGTGGGTGCCATAACTGAGTACCCATCAACTTGACTCATACTGTCTTCCCCACCCTTGTGAATCCCTGAGACCCCATCCCCCCAACTTGTAGGCTTATCGAAACCATTTCCAGTGCCTTTTTCATACAACTAGCCTCTCTCGCCTCAGGCTTTGAACTTTTCTAAAATCTCTCAAACAAGCAGCATCTGACCTCTGCATACCATAAGTGGCCATAGGCCTGGCACTAGTGACAGCCCACCTTGGTTCACAAGTTGGCCTCTTATGGGTGCCTCCAAACACAAGTAACATCCATCTTCAGATTGCTTTGTAGGTTGTGTCAGGTGGCCTAAGGCAGAACACAGGTGGAGGCTGACTTTGCACCTCCTGGGAGGCCCCAGGGCAAGTGCACCAGGTATATAGCTTTAGACCAGCCGTGGGCAAACTACAGCCCGCGGGCCGGATCCGGCCCATTTGAAATGAATAAAACTAAAAAAAAAAAAAAAGACCGTACCCTTTTATGTAATGATGTTTACTTTGAATTTACATTAGTTCACACAAACACTCCATCCATGCTTTTGTTCCGGCCCTCTGGTCCAGTTTAAGAACCCATTGTGGCCCTCGAGTCAAAAAGTTTGCCCACCCCTGCTTTAGACCATGCTAGATTACAACCCTATCCCCTCCATGAGCAACACACTCAAGGGACCAACTAATTGAGCATCAAAGCCCAATTGAAGCAAGGATCAGCTCCTAGCGTCAGTTCCTGCACAGCAGCTTATCCACTCTAGTCACAGCTGGTCCTCACAGCCAATTGGCCTGGGAGTCAATCACTTCCAGTGATGCCAACAGCAACCAAGACTCAACTACAACAGGGCAATGTACAGAGGCCACACAAGGGTGCACCTGGAGTGTGTATTTCAGGTGACTGGGCCTTATGGGACGTCAACTACACATGGCTACTCTACCAAGTCTGGGAGATATAGCAGCTCAACCTAATACATAGAAACAAACACAGGAAGTACCCAAAATGCGGAGATAAAGAAACATGTCCCAAATGAAAGAAAAGGAGAAATCTCCAGAAAAATAACTAAATGAAATGGAGGCAAGCAAACTACCAGATACAGAGTTCAAAACAATGTTTATAAGGATGAGCAAGTAACTTAGTAAGAACTTCAACAACATGAAATAAGACATAAGAAACAAATAAAAATAGTCAGGAATGAAATATACACTATACACTGATTGAAATAATAATTTACAGGGAACCAATAGTAGAGTAGACAACGCTGAGAATCAAATCAGTGATTTGGAATAGGAAAAAGCAAAAATCACCCAATGAGAACAGCAAATAGAGAAAAATAATGCAAAAATATTAAAGCAGTGAAAGAAGCCTCTGCAAAATTTCAAGTGTATCAACATTTGCATCATGGAGGGGCCAGAAGGAGGAGAGGGAGCAAGAATTTGAAAACTTATTTGAAAATAATGACAGAAAACTTCCCTTACCTGGTGAAAAAAAATAGGCATGTAAGTCCAGGAAGTGCAGAGAGTCCCAAACAAGATGAACCCAAAGAGGCTCACACTAAGATATCATAATAAAATATCAAAGGTTAAAGACAAAGAATCTTTTTAAAATATGTATATATTAGAGGCCCAGTGCATGAAATTCATGCACTGGTAGGGTCCCTAGCAGCTGGCAGCGACCAGCTGAATACTCCTTTTCTTTCCCTGGCCAGCCCCACCCCTTGGTTGAACTCCCGGTCCAGGGGATAATTTGCATACTACGCTTTTAGTATATAGGATTTTAAATTGTTGCTAGTATTACAGATGTCTCCCACCTCTCCCCACCCCTCACCATTTACTCCCCTCCTCCCAATCCCCATCCCAGGTCTTCACCACACTATTACCCGTGTCCAGGGACTATGCATATAATTATATAAGTTCTTTGGTCTATCTCTTCTTGTCCCCCCATATCCTCATCAAGGTATGTTAGTCTGTTCATACCTCCATGCTGTGGGTCTTATTTTGTTGGTCAATTCATTTTGTTCATTAAATTCCACAAATAAGTGAGATGATTTGATATTTGTCTTTCTCATATTCGCTTATTTTACTTAGCATAATATTTTCCAGGTTCATCCATGCTGTCCCAAAGGTAAAGAGATCCCTCTTTTTAATAGCTGCATAGTATTCCCTTGTATAAATGTCCCACAGCTTTTGTTATCCATTCATCTACTGATGGTCACTTGGATATTTCCAAATCTTAGCTATTGTAAATAATGCTGCAATGAACATAGGGATGCATATATTCTTTATGATTGGTGTTTCAAGGTTTTTAGGATGTATTCCCAGAAGTAGGATCTCTGGATCAAATGGAAATTCCATTTTTAATTTTTTGAGGAAACTCCATAGTGGCTGCACCAATTTGAATTCTCACTAGCAGTAAACCAGTGTTCCCTTTTCTCCACATCCTCTCTAGCACTTGTTTGTTGATTTTTTTATGGTAGCCATTCTGACAGGTGTGAAGTGATATTTCATGTGGTTTTAGTTTGCATTTCTCTGATTAGTGACTTTGAGCATTTTTTCATATGTCTCTTGGCCATTTGTATATCCACAAAGGGAGAATCTTAAAAGCAGCAAGAGAAAAGCAGTTAGTTACCTACAAGGGACCTCCCATAAGACTGTGAGCTGATTTCTTATCAGAAACTCTGAAAGCCAGTAGGGAGTGGCAAGAAATATTCAAAGTGACAAAAGCAAAGACCTACAACCAAAATTACCCAGCAAAGCTATCATTTAGAATTCAAAGTCAGGTAAAGAGCTTCCTAGACAAGGAAAAGCTAAAGGAGTTCATCACCACCAAACCAGTATTACATGAAATGTTTAAAGGTCTTTTTAAAAAAGAAAGGGAGGGGAGATTAAAAATAAGCAATAAAGTGAGAATAAATACAGATCTATCAACAATTGAATCTAAAAATGAAAATAAGGGGAAGAAACCAAGATGGCAGCATAGGTAAACACCGGAAATTGCTGCCTCGCACACCACTTCAAAAATACAACTAAAAAATAAAACGGACATCATCCAGAACCACAGGAAGGCTGGCTGAGTGGAAATTCTACAACTAGAAGGAAAGAGAAAAGCACACTGAGACTCAGAGGAGGCGCGGAAGTAAAGTGCAGAGCTATGGAGGTGTGCGCGGAAAGGGTTGGCAACTGAGGACACTGTTGTCTTTTTCAATTGGGAGGGAGACACAAGCTCCCGACAACTCTGAACTTCAGTTCCGGGCAAGTCTCTAGGGAGAAACTGGACTGTCTGGCAGCGGGCGGAACTCGAGGGCAGCTTTCTCTCAGAGGTGCTTGCAATGATTACCACGGGACACTGAGACCCGGGACCTCTTAGGGCAGGACTGAGGATCAGCCATAGCTGTTTTCTCCGCCCTGTTGATTCTCTGAGACCCCACCCCACCCAAGCTGCTAGCAGAGGCTTTTGCATATGAATGGCCAGGCCCTTTGCAATTTAAAATTACCTAACAAACTGCAGCTGGTCAGAGAGACCCAGAACACCCAAAAAAGGCCCAAGGCCCCACAGCAGCTTGCATTTCTTCACAGCTGGGCCTCATCT